TACCTTCTGTTCCCCATGAACTGTTTCTCTTCTATGTCTGCCATGCCACCCTGCCTTGGAGCCTACTGATTCTGGACTGAAACTCTTACAAACTGTAAGGTAAATAAACCTTTTCTCCTTTGAGTGTCAGGTATTGTGTCTTAGCAACAGAAAAGTAACTTTTTGCTGAGTCACTTTTTGCTGAGACACAATACCTGACACCTGCTGCTTAAAGGAAATGAGGTTTATTTTTGACATATTTCATTCCATGTTTGGCAGCCTCCAAGAAAGAAACAGAATGGCACAGAGGCATGGCAGAAGACACTTCTCATGTCATGGCATCCAGGATTTATCCAGATAAATTTATAATGACATGTATCCAGTTATAGTGTAATGTGAAGACACCACACTCCTAAACATCATCTGTGCCCTACCTATTAATCATGTCCTCCTCTCTAACTCTGGCAACCGCTGTTTTACTATCTCCATTGTTTTGCCTTTTCCAGAATGTCACCGTTGGAAGCATACCAAATGCTGTCTTCTTACATTGGTTTCTTTCACTTAGTAATGTGTGTTCTTCCATGTCTTCATGGCTTCACAGTGTGTTTCTTTATAGCGCTGTAGCATATTCCACGGGCTGGCTGTACTACAGTTTACTCATCCGCTTGGCTACTGGACATCTTTACTGCCTTTACATACTGACAGTTACGAAGAAAGCTGTTCTAAACATCCTTGTGCAGCCTCACATGGACGTATTTTTAACCCCTTTGGCTAAACAGGTTAAATACCAAGGAGCAGAACTGCAGGATCAGCCTGGTGAACGTATGCTTAGTTTTGTAAGAAACCAATCCACTGTCTTTCAAAGTGGCTGTACCATTTTGCATCCCCACCAGCAATGCAAGAAGAGTTCCTGTTACCTGACATTTTTATCAGTATTCAGTGAGGTCAGTGTTCTGGATTTTGGCTATTCTGGTAAATGTAGTGATTTCTTGCTATCACATGTTCTAATTTGCAATCTTTTTTTTGTCTTTTTGAGACAGGGTCTCGCTATGCAGTTTGGGCTGGCCTTGAGCTCACTATAGCCCATGCTGGTCTCAAACTTGCAACGATCCTCCTAAGTGCTGGGATTACAGGCATGTGCCACCACATGCAGCTTTTTTTTTGAGACAGGGTCTCACTAGGTAGCACAGGCTGGCCCTGAACTCATGGTGGGATCTTCCTGCCTCTGCCTCCCGGAGTGCTGACATTAGAGGCATGCCCCAGCAGGCCCAGCCTAATTTGCAATTTCTTGATGACATATAATGTGAAACATCTTTTCATATATTTATTTGCCAACTATATGTTCTTTTTGATTTTTTTTTTTCTTTGCAGTACCGGGGATCAAACTCACAACCTTGCGCTTGACAGGCAGGCGCTTATGCCATTGAGCTATATCCCCGGCCCTATATGTTCGTTTTGAAATGCCTGCTAAGATCTTTGGCCCATTTTCCAAGCAGGTTGTTTTCTCATTGTTGACTTTATATGGGCTGGATCTAAAATGTCCTCCAAAGTCTCATGTATTGAGGTGGAATTTTCAGGTGATTGGATCAGGAGACCACTCACTGCATCAATGGATCACTGCCTTGGTGAGTTCACAGCTGTATGTGCTGGTAGTAGGTAGGGCCTGGTGGGAGGGGGCAGGTCACTGGGAGCGTGCTCCGGGGGGTACTGTCTTGTCCCTGGGCCCCTTCTTTCTTTTGGCTTTTCCCTTCTCTGTTTCCTGACTCATGAGAGGGGAGTCACTTTCTTTTGCTCCACCAGTATCTCTGAAAGCATGAGCCCAAACAAATCTTTTTTACTTTAAGTTGTGTGCCAGGTGTTTTGTCCCAGTGATAGAAAGGTGACTAACACATGAGATTTTCAGGGCTCTTTGTCTACTTTGTATGTAAGTCCTGTAAGAGCTTTGTCTCTTGTAAATGGTCCTTTCCTACTTTTCCAGTCTGTGGCTCGTTTGTTTCTCTTGACAGTGTCACGTGAAGAGCAGAACATTTGAATTTCAATGAAGTCCAGCTCACCAATTCTTTCTTTGATGGATCTTGCCTTAGGTACTGTTTTTGTCTTCCCATAAAGAGTTTCTCAACCTAACCTTTTTTCTCACTTCTGCTTTCTTTTGCATTGACAAGTGTCCCTATTACTCACTGTTCATCTTTTTCTTACTGCTGTTCATTTTTTTCTTACTGCTTAAAAAACGTTTCTATTGCTTTTTTTTAGTGATTACCATTAATCATGTAATATATGTACTAAAATCTTAAAAGCTTCAAATAAAACCTAGCTATGTGTAATTTTTTTTTTTCCTCAATATAGTAAGGATTTCACTTCATTCCATCTATCTATTGAATATCTTTTCCCATCTACTTATTTTCCCAGGAAGCTTTTCTTTTTGTTTTTGAGACAGCATTTCCCTATGTAGCTCATGTTGGCCCTGAACTCACTTATGTACCCCAGGCTGGCCTCAAACTCACAGCAATCCTCCTGCTAAGGCTCACGAGTGCAGGGATTACAGGCTTAAGCAAACATGCCCAGCTTTTTCTAGGAAGTTTTGAATTTATCTGTTAAAAATACAAAAATGACCTCATTTTTTAAAAAATCAATTAACTTTACCAAATTTATCAGTATTCCATTTTATTGGCCCTGTTATGTTCCTTCTCATTTTTTTGTTAATATATCCCTAAAATTCTTTTAGTGAGGGTCTGTGAATAATACTCCAATATTTATATAACCATATATATATATATATATATATATATATATATATATAGTTATTAGTTAGGTTGTTCTTTCTTTGGAGTACAAGTTTAGCAGAGTATCTAATCCTAAATTATTCTCTTCAAAATGGAGCAGAAAAACTGTCTCGCATACCTGTTTTTTTTTCTCATACCTGTGTGACTAATGAACAGTTTATTGTCAGTGTAAGTCACTGATTTGTAATTTGCTTTTTTATCTCTGTTAGATTTTAAGTTTTTCATTTTAATATTCTAGTGTGGACTCTATGTTTCTTACTTATCTCGAGTGTACATGTGATAGAAGGGCTCATGCCTTTAATTCACAAATACTGTTTCATTAGTTTGTCCATTTGGTCCTTAGGAACCACACACATACGCACTGACCAAGTGGGCTATGCTCTACATCTCACACATGCTGTCTTTAGCTTCATTCTTATTTTTCTTAACTCTATGTGAACAACTTCTCTGAAACACTAAGCACTTGTTTTAGTCATTTTGTCTTCATTATGTATTCATTTTATACATTCATTTGCATTACTTGAATATTCATACATGTTCATTTTCTATGGTTGTGTAACAGATTACCACTAAACCTAATACTACAGTCTTGGAATTAGGAATATGGTTATGGTTTATTGCGTGCTGTCTCACAAGGCTGCAGTGATGGTGTCAGCCAAGGCTATGATCTCACCTGAGGTTCAAGGTTCTCTTCAGAGTTCATTCATTGTTGGAGTAATTCAGTTCTGACTGAGGCTCCTAGTTTCAATGGGCAGTTGGGTATGGTGGCATACACCTGTAATCCCAGCACTCAGAAGGCTGAGGCAGGACAATCGCTGTGAGTTGAGGCCAGCCTGGGGCTACGCAGTGAAGTCAAGGACAGCCTGCCTCAAAAACAAAATCAATGGCTGCTTGTGTTCCCTGCTACAGAGATTGCTTCACGACCTGACAATTTGTTTCAAGACCAACAGAACATCTTTGCTGCTTCTGGTCTCTTATCTGGATACTTTTTTTTTTTTTCCTATTTTCTTTTTTTTGGTACCTGGAATGGAACTCCTATCTGGATACTCTTAAATGGCTCAACTGATTATGTCATGCCACCAAGGATAATTTCTCTGATAATCCCAAATTAACGAATTTGGGTTCCTAATTGTAGTTTCCCTTCTCTGTTTCCACAGAATATATCCTAATCACGTGTAATATTGTAACCACAGATCCTGTCTACCCTCAGAGGATATTGAGGGATGTGCAGAGGGGATCTTATAATTGTGAGTACCATATTTTTCTCCCCAGAAATTGTGAATGTTTCCCTTTTTAAAAATATGTAAATTTCCTGCTTATTTCCTAAAATTTTATTACAACTTTTTAAGATACACAACATTGTGCTTATATAATAGTGATGACCATTTCTATCACTCCAGAAAGTTATATTCAGATAAAGCTCCTATGAATACTTTTTCCTCTTTTTTTGTTCTCAGTACGGGGAATCAAACTCATGATCTTGCACTTGCCGGGCAGGCACTGTGCTGCTGAACTAAATCCCCAGCCCCTCCAATGAATACTTGTGGGGAAGCCTGTATGTGGAAACATGATTTTCTCTTGCATATATACCTAAGAGTGAACTGCTTGTATTGCATGACAAGCATTTTTTTTTTTTCTTTTGGAGACAGGGTCTTGCTATATATAGTACAGGCTGGCTTTGAACTCAGTGATCCTCCTGCCTCAACCTCCTAATTGCTGGGATTACAGGCATGCACCACCACATCCAGCTTATGGCTGTCATATTTTTAAAACCATGTAAAAAAAAAAAACCTGCGATAGTTTTCTACAGTTGTATTATTTAACTTTTCCATATCTCTGCCAGTACTGATGGTCCTTTTAATTTTAGCCATTATACTATGTTGTGTAGTGATTTTAATTTGCAATTCCTTAATGACTGATTGTGAGCATCTTTCGTGTGATTTTTGGCTATCTATGTATCTTCCCTCCTTAGTCAAGTATCTGTTCAAGTCTGTTGCTCAGTTTTTAAAAGTTTTTTTGAGTTGTTGTCCTATTTAGTTTTAAGAGTTCATCAGTGCTAAAC